AGAATAGCTCATCTCAACGGTTACACAGCCTGCTAACAACGGCGCACGCACAGCGAGAAGTTCCCCAAATACAGCTGAAAACAAAATTCATCTTCAGCTACCATTCATATCGGACCAGTTTACCGCAGTTATACAACAGTGCCTCCGAAGAGCAGATCTGGCCAACGACGTTCTTTGGTAAATACACCAAGGGACAATATAAAACACCAGTTGGTCAGAAATCGCCTCTATGATCGAGTCTGCACCATGGAGAACTGCGTGATCTGTCCGTATGGGAAGGTGGGTGACTGTGCACAGTGGGCCGTAATATACCAAATTCAATGTTTGACCTGTGGCGCTTCATATATCGGTGAAACTGGGAGGCAGTTAGGTATACGCGTTAAGGAACATCTGGCTAGCAAAAGACGGGAAAGTTTAGTTGCACCGCTTGGCAAGCATAGAAGGGAAAATCATGGCGGCTGTGATTTTGACGTTAAATGCACTATATTGGCCTACGAAAATGATGTCGGTGCTAGGAAAACCCTCGAAGCGTTCTGGATAAAGCACCGCAATCCATCCATGAACAACAGGAATGAGTGCATCTCAATAACTGCTGATTTCTTACCGTACATTCCGCTGTGCGGTCTTTAACAGTGAGAACGGGATGTACTGCACGCACTCTATCACTATGGCAGTGCATAGAAGTGAGTCTCATTTGCTCTATCGGTTCTTAAAGTTGAGCAGAGCATCGGCGCTGGTGGAACTGACGAGGTAACCTACTGTTGGAATTTCCTTTCGTTGTAGTCCCTTGGTCAGTGTTGCAACTAGTCAAGGCGGGTCCGTGTTAAACAGGATAGGTCGTATTTCACGACTTTCGGTGTGCTTTCAGGCCTTTGAAAACGACGAGATTGTCGAAACGTCAGGCGTAATAAAGATTCCACCATACAAACCTGTCCGGCATAAGAAAGAAGTTATCGATCACATAAGTTCAAAATGCCCAGGTTACACGAAAGGCGAACATGGAATATAGATCTAGCGTCTTCCAGCACCCACCAGTGTCTACCAGCGTCCGGTAGTAGAGTGTGGCGCGATAGGAAAGTAGCAGACAGCTGGTAGGGTATTGGGAGTTATTAGGGTAGCAGACTGTTGTAGAGAGTGCCGCGAATAGGAGAGTAGCAGACAGCTGGTACCCTTCTTCACCATACTCTAGGAAATCGTACTTTTCCTCTGGGGAGGTGAGGTCGTACTTTGGTGGTTGTTGGGAGAGGGGATCGTACCGACACCACCATTTCATACATCACGATGCTGTACCCTGGCTGGAGGACGCTGCCGCAAAGTACTAACGCAGCTTTGGAGGTGAGGGGGTGCAGACAAGAAGCGCGTTTGGCTATAGTTAGGCGTGTAGCCGGCCATGTGGCAGCGCAGGCTTCCCGTCCCAGTCTGAATTTTACAGTGGGGCGGTGGCAGTACCAAATGAAAAATCGGTGACTTCACTCTTCTTGTGCTTTTGGGTTGAATGAGGCGAAATTTGGTCAATCTATGGCGGTAAAGAACGGAATACATTGTTTGTATACTGTGTGAAATTGAATGCGATTCCAAACAACTCACTTCTGCAGCAGTGAACGGTGCCAGTACCAGAGTGAGGCGATTGAAGGAAATTACGAAGTGTAAAACAAGAATAGCCATGGGGCAATATGTGGAAATAGACTTGTAGGGATTCAGTACCCATGTTGGTTCTCCGAATATTGCTAGTATTTCATGACACCAGAATCCCAAACCAACGAATCGTTGAATACAGTAGTGAGCAAGAAAATAAATAATGCTCTGAAGCGTTATTATTGTGATGAAGTTTTGAAAAATCCGAGTAGTTGAATGTAAATGGTATTTCGAGTTAAGTCTATTTATAATACCTCCGCAGATCTTTCACTGGCGTCACTACTCACTTCTGCTCACTGTTTCTTCTAATACCTTCCCTCCAGAGTGCTGAGCCCCGAAACGTGGTAATAAGTCATGGGCGGGGAGTATAGGTAGCTTTGAATGCATTTTTCCAGATTGTAAATTGTAGGTAGCGTTGTTGAGAAAAAAAGAGTTATAAGAGTAAGTATATATAAAGTATATAGAGTATATGTATATAAAGAGCTACAATGAAGGATTTGTCCCATTCTTGAACACCAAGGTTCGGATCAGAAATGGTACCACGGAGTTATCCTGGTATAGAAAGCCAGCTTCGAAGAACGTGTTGCTGCATGCTAGAAGTGGTCACCCCCTGTACATGAAAGCCAATGTTGTCCGGAATATGGTGATCACTAAGGACAAAATATGCACCCAGCAGTCATCAGAAGCAGACTTCGATGGTGGATAGAATTCTAAGAGAGAATGGGTATACAAGCACCCGCACCCATACATGGAAACCGCATTCCACGGCGGACGGAATTCCCTTGGTATTACCTTACCTAAATGAAAGCACGGCATTAAAAGTAAATAATATTGTAAAGTGCTCACCACTTCCTATACGCCTAATATTTCGTCCTCCACCAAATTTAAAACGCCTCCTTACATTTTCCAGGCCTTATGAAGATAAATGTGGAAGGGCAGGTTGTACAGTCGTCATCCTTGCACTTGATAGTCAATGTCAGTGCGGCTGCGTGCGGCGCGGTCGCCCGCACCCGTACTGCACCAATCGTTGAACCAGGAAGTGACATTACTGTATTATATCCTTCGTGTTACTCGTTTTCTATCACTTTTTGTCGCATACGCGTTTCAACGAAAAGGCTGAGAAGGCTTCAAACAGTGTGCACGCTCCTTCTCGCCGACACGCCCCTATCAAGTGCAAGGATGACGACTGTAGTTACTGCAGGGATTCAAATCTGTCAACTCAGGGGGACAGTTTATCTGGTGGAATGTCAAGGATGCGGGCAAAAATATGTGGGAGAAACTGGGAGGCCCCTATACAAACGGATCGACGAACACCGGAGGGCGCTGGGAAATCCACCTTCTTACCCTAATAGCAGTTTCTCCCGGCATCGCATAATGGAGCACGCTCACCAGGAACCCCCCTCTTTAATGGTCAAAGTACTACACCGCTCGGTAGAGAGCTCAATGGAGAGGAAAATTGGAGGCCTTGGGAATAAAACGTAGCACCCCAAATAAACAATAGGGAGGAACTACGTGACATTATGCAAG